AGAATATTGAATGAGTATGTCCTTTTTGCCCCAAAATACCTTGTGTTTTTACATTAGGTATAAGTAGGCTTTGTTTGCTTTCAAGAATGATGTCAGTGATTACTGGCAAGCCAGTGATTTAAATCAACGTAGGTAGCATAAAATAGAGCAGGTAAGATGTGAAACCAATTTTTAAACAGACTATAAAAGGAATGTATTGTATGAAGTCCATGAAAACACAAAAGGAAAACGCTGTCTATGACAACCTAATTCTAAAATACATGCTCATGTAAAAAATGAGAAACCTGTAGCTTGCTAACATGAGATGTTAAAATGTGAAAAGAAAGCTTTGTATCAAGCCTAGTACTGGCTGACTATTTTAAGAACAAAAAAAGCAAGTTTTTTCCACATTCTGTCTATTCTGTGCATGGAATAACTAGGTAGCTCACACAACCATCTTCCACATGTTCTAAAAGAAGAGTGTACCCAATTCTCAGAGTTTTATCAGAATCTCTTACCTGGAACTCCAGTAAGTTGGTAACAGAAAATTCCATCAGTACCCCTTGATTCCATTCAGAATTATCATGTTTCTAAACCTCAAGCTGAGCAAAATCAGAACACAGACTCAAAAAACTACTCGGGACTCGCTTTTACAACTTTTTCTTATGGTAACAAAGAGGAAGTCCATTTTTGAAAGCTACATTCCTTACTCCCAGTAAGTAGCTCTTGACTGCCAACAAATTCAGTATAGTCTCCTTAAGCCCAACCTCAATTACTTTATGTACTAGTTCAATTCTAAAAATGTCAAATGAGAATTCTAGTTAGCCTGTTCAGAACCAGGTATCAAATAATTTAACTGAGCCATGCAAATAAACCCAATCCAAACATGCCACAGTAATTCAAAGAGACATGGCATGGGAAACAGTTACTTGAGGTATTTGAATATGAAAGTATTCCAACATATTCCAGGGCTGGAAGGGGGCTGGGGGAGAACTGAAATGAATAGATGTTTCAAATGTTTAACGGAAATAAAGCCTAATTTCTTTCAAAAGGTACTTAACCAAAGTAAACTGTTTTCACTACATAATTTCCTTTCTTCCAAGAGACAAACCATGAAATTTGTAGTTAAACTGATGCAGAGTGATGCTGGTTCCCAAACTTTACAAAAAACTTAGGCAATCTACACACATTCACTAGACATCAAAATCAATATAAACCAGACAATGTGATAGACTGGAGAATTAAATAAGCCACAGACACATACTACCCTCACTTACAAACTGACAGATATTTTTATGACTTTTAAAAAATTTTAAAGAGTTTTTAATCAAAATTTTTAAAAATGGAGTGGGTTTGTTGCTGTAAAATTATCCAAAGATAATAGCTTCAACAAGTAAAACTTGCAGTCAGATAGTGAAATTCCTGAGATGTGTCTTTATTCTATAACAGAAGTGTGTAAACCTGTGAAAGTGGCAAACACTTTACCCTAGGGTCAAAGAACTAACATCTCTGTAGCTCAGGACATCTTTTTGATGAATGTGAAACAGCTGGAATAAATATATCAAGGGTAACAATTGTACTCCCATGGTCGATCCAGCTGCTGGAAAAATAAACCCGGGGGGGAAAAGCCAAACAGTAAAAAACCCAACAATATAGAGAAAAAAACCACACCAAACCTCCTACACCACTCAATCCCACTGTTTCTGCATATGTGCTTTTAAGATACAGGACTTTCTGCAAATACTGGTTGAAAATTAACATAGATATTAATTTGTTAAAAACAAAACCAATTATAAATAGTTAAAATATTCAAGGAATGACTGTTTTATTTAAACAACACAACAGCAATATTTTTTACCTTTAGTGGTTTTTTTCCAGACCTGCGGAACATTCGTACCTGCGAGAAAGTTACTTTAAAAATAAAGAGAGACTCATAAGAATCCTGTTAATACTTTATTAGTGTAATTTTTTAGCTTTCTATTGGACAGAACATAAATGCAAACTCCAAAAATAAATTCAGAGTCCTCTGCCATTTAGCTGAAGTGACCATGGCAGCCTGTTTCATGTTCATTCTTTGTTATGGAAACAAGAGGAGGGGGAAGGAAGGAAAAAAGCATCAAGAGAACAATTAGGCACACAGCTGACACTTACTGTACAATGATATGCACAAGTAATTTATAACAGCTATATTCATGAGATGTGCTCTTCAGATTTATCCCTTGTAATACATGAGCTTTGCTCAGACGAGCAAGGATCACTGAGAACAAGGGAATTAACAAAGGAGTAACAAATAAGACTTTTAAAACAAGTCCTTAAATAAACTAACGCAACAACAGAATGCAAAATTGTTCAGCTGAGAAGACATTTTTAACCTAGACTTCAAAACATTAAAAATTCATTTATTTTACAGTTATTCAAATACACATGCATTAAATGAAATATTGCACAAAATTAAAATTTAGATTGTGGAATTCATATATTTTTATTTCGGTACACATTCTGGTAGCACTTAAAATTTACTGTTTAGTTCTAGCAAACACCAGCAGCACAAGCTTGAGGATGAACCAAATGAAAAATTCAGTTGCTTGTTTTCTCTTAAAAATAATTAAGGCTAAAACAAGTGCATTTATTGACAATGGCACAATTTTCAGCGGCCAGTCACAGCACCCAAAGGCCAGAAGATACACCCAGACTCTTAAGTGCTGTATATTAACATTCAGTTTTGGAGACTTTCTAAGATAATAGGCTGCATGGGTCGACAGGGCAGGTATTTTAAATTGTCAACAGGAAAACCATTTAAATGAAGATACATACAAACTCTTTTTAACAAAAAGTATTCATTTCTGATGATTCTTGCCAGCCAACAGGCACCACTGAATTAGGAAGCCACATTCTGTAATTAAATACAGAAGACAAAACTTCAATACATATACACATATGCATACATACGTATATAAATGTGTGCATAGGTATATATATATAATAAATTCATTAAGTAAAACGACTAATAAACATGGCGTATTACGTTCAGTTCACATTCCCAGAGATATTATCTTATTTTTGTACAGAAATGTACCAGATAATTAAAAAAATCCCAAATTTGCACATGATCACTGTTCTCTCGAAATTTTTCATGGTACCTACAGATAGATAAAAGGTTCCACAGATTTGACAAAACAGTATTTGAACTTCCCACTTTCATACTGCATAACAATTTCAGTGATTTAAAAGACATAAATTAGGTTTGGTAGGAACAATGATATATTTACTATATCGCCAAGAACAATTGCTGAACGATCTTTCATCAGTCAGATGTCAGGTACGCTTAAACTGCCTGGCATCAAAGGAAGATACAGGCATGTAAACAATAGGAGCTGGCTATGTTGATTACTTCACACAGAACTCAATTTTGTTAAATTCAACAGCACTTAATCATCACGCTTCTACAGAACCTGCAGAGAGGAAGGGGGAAAGGTTCTTAGGTGTTTACCAACTTGTCTTCCTAGGGCTATAAAAGAAAGGGACTTCATTTATAGTATTTAGTTCTGCAATAAAGAAAAAAAGTGCACTTGAGCCCATGCATACTGTAGGAGAATGTTAACAGTACAATATGATCACCGTTAAGTAGTATGATAAAAGGCTACATTGCATTAATAGCATCCATGAGAAAAAATGATCTATATAGAGGCTTCAGTCAATTTAACTAGGTCCTTTGAGAGCCTTCTGCCTTCTCTTAGAACGCTTTCATAAAAGGTCTACATTCCTTCCTCACATAAAAGGATCATTTGTTCCCATTAAGACACAGATTACTGTAAGAATCCTTGATCAATAGCTGTATCTTACCCTGTGTTTAGCATTCAGAAAAAACCAGACTCTATGGTATTACTTTCTATGCACCCGGACAGCAGTGCTCAAACATCTGGGGACTATGAAAAAGAAAACACACTGAGATATGCTGTGGCCAAACGGGATTATTCAGTTGTTACTTTATTTTTAATTGGACAGAAATTCTTCAATGAAACTAAACAGATGGATGTGGGGCCTTGATTTTTATTAAAATTTTACACTATGCAAAAAATAAAAAAAATATTTAAAAAAATATTGTAGTTTTATCTCCTTTTTATTTTCATATATACACTGAGATGCATTCAGGAATTTCCAAGTGTTTGCATATGACTAATGAAATCCTTTACCTGTGAGGAACCAACTAATTTGACTATTTTCCATATGAGGCTTACACACTAAAATATAACAAATCTTTCCCTTAAGCAGGACATAGACGTCTACACCCAAAAAAGTTTCAAATTTTAGTGGGGAGTTGTGTGTAAACTGTGTCTTAGTGCAATTTCTTCATCTTCTAACATGATGTCTGTCCTCTTTGAAACAGGTACCCCCTTCCTTCTACAACTATCAACTTGACGTATGTTCAGATATGGCAATTGAACATAAATATGATGCCCCTTCTCCACTGAAGTTACATGCAAAATGTATGCCTGGTGCTATAAGAGCAGAATATGGCCCTTAAAGCTACAGAATAATCAGAACAAAGGGTTTATTTCTACTGCACCTCTGCCTTTAGTAAAACCCCCATTAGATCTAACGTTAGTTTATTTTTCAAAACATGAAAGGTGAAGTAAGTAAGGCATAAAAGCCGCATTACCTCAACTTTCCTTTAATAAATGTACTTTTGTGATGGGGCTATAAAAATTTCTCCCTCCTCCTATGACCTGCTACTCCGAAGACTGCTTTTCCTGTTAGCACAGCTTTCACAGGAATGTTAAGAGAGCCCTACAGAGCCTCAACAGTCGTAACATAGAATTCCACCTGATTCTCACACGTTGCACTATCTCCCAGTGCCAAAACATCCTTTTCTTCCATTATACCACCACAGTTGTGCTTTACTTGGACAGCCTGGCACTTTTCATTGCTGGCAAAACATCGACTCAGGAACGGAAGGAATCAGCGTTCTTTCTATTGGGCCAGTATTCTTCTCAATGTTGCATGAAGATGCACCAAATCATTTAAGACACACAAACCCTTCTGGTAGTGGTTGAATTACAAGTGAAGATGAGAAGATCCACAGGTCTTACAGATGCATTAATAATGTAATATGTGACACTAGAAGACTGGTGCAGAAATAACAGCATGTGAGTGAAGCCCCAGAGAATCTGCCCAAGTAATTAGTCCTGGACAAACATACACCAGCTTAATAGGTTTGAAGTGTCACCTTTTCTGCAACGAAGGCGCTTGAGTACAGTGTAGTCTCTGCTTATACCTCTGCATCTGCTTTGACCGTGAATGCAGTTTGTTGAAGAGCTCGTGGAACTTATTTTGTGGAAATAAGGTTTCTAGGAATCTCTCCAGAAACACATACACCATTCTCTTATTGAGTTGAGTGTGCTGGAACATTTCAAAGACCCGAAGAATGCCTTTCCGTGTCGTCTCAGCACCTATGATGTGCTTCAGTTCATCTACAAAAATGAAATTTAACAAACTTAAACTGAGTATTCAGTCTTTCACATTAATGCAGCTTAAATTTGAGCTAACAGTGCCTCTATTATACATAACATGACTAAACTAAAAGTTTTCTTACAGCAGAAAGGATTTCTGAAAATTAATTCACTTCACTATATATGTGGAACCATGTTATCTTACACTAATTCAGGCTGTATTGAAATATAGATATTTCATGCACTAAACCTAAATCCTCTAGTGAAACTAAACACCAGGCTGGTTCCAAGAGACTTACAGTTGAAAAGTCACAGCACATGTAAAAATGTTCAGTGCTTTAATAATTAAAAACCTTTTTACTGAAGTACAGTTCATATGTCAGTATTTCAATAATCAAGAATATTGACATTAACTTCAGTAACAATATATTGTAAGAATTATTAGGCTGCAACTCCAGACTCGCTTACCTGGCATTACCTCCAGTAATTTGGTCTTCCCTGCCACCCTTGTTCTCATTCTAATAGCTTTGTCCCTCCGTGGAACAGCCTCTGCTAAAATGCCATTGGGCCAAAAAGCATCTCTGTAACAAAGCAAAATCTGTCAAAATACATTAAAATTTTATCAAGTGAAAGGCTCTTTTTAATTCCTCAAAACTATCTCATAAAATAAATACAAGAAAGTAATTTGCACACAAACTTAAGAAACACTTCAAGTATTAGAAAAGGGAAAAAAGTGAAAAAAGAAATCAAGAGCAAGTACAGTACAACCTATTAGTAGCCACCATATCGTTTTTTTCACTACAAGAATCAGATGAATAAAAATTTTCAGAAAATATTACACACCAAAACCATTCAAATACCATACAGTTGTTATACAAAATATACCCAAGATTTGCTTTTACCAATGAGTCTCTATTGCCACTGAGAGATTAGGCTAAGGTCTATGAATTGCTTCATTAGTTCTCTGATAGTAATTAATCTATCAACATAGTAAGATGAGATGAAGTAGTTTCAGTGTAGTATAAAGCCCAATGCAGAAGACATGCCTCTGTATAAAAAGGTGTTTTGCCTCAGCTAATGACATTCTTTTTCTGAGTAAGAAACACACATTCTTACTCGGTTTTATTAAAGAATAACAGAGTATCTGTAAAGTATGACCCTCTGGCTAATACATTATCCTACTTTACCTCTTTCACCCCATCCAAAAAAAGGCAAGGGGGGTGTCTCTCACTCAACAATGCTGCAGAAGCACATGCCTTTATTAAGGTAAACAAGACACTTCATCCAATAATATGATAAATCCGTAAGTATAGCCATACTCTAGAGCTCTTCTAGACTGGTTAACAAAGAACATAAGGAAGAGGAGAAAACTCAAAAATATTCTTCTTCATGTGACAATTACTTTCTCTCACTTTACACAAGTGAAAAGCAGCATATGCTCCAACTGCAATTCTGCAGAGTAATAATAATTTCCTCACACAGAAAGAAGAGGAAAGATACACTGATATTAGATATCAATTGGCAAGTACTACATATTTAACATCTGTGATAAAAGACATACCTGAAGCGTTTCACCGCATCAGCTACTTGCTCAGGAGATGTCATCCAATCAACGTGATCAACTATTTTTCTAAAAATCAAAGCAACAAGTCTCATTTAATTTTTAAAGCAAAGAACAAGTAAGTATAGCATTTTAAAGAGCCTTCTAGGGCAAACAAAGTATAATTTACGTATTTCTCCAACTCCAAAAGTAGGTTTCATAAAACTGACCACTAGGAAGGGAAACACTGATTCTCAAGATAAAAATCTAAGCTCACTGATCACTCCTAAGACTAAAGTCTTTTTCTTTTTGAGTAAATGTATGATGACTAAGCAGGCTGCAAAATCATGTTCCATCTCCCATTACATTAGATAAGTGTTCTGCTTGTAGAGTGCTCCTCTTCATGGAGCACTCTTCAAATTCCACTTCTTTAAGCAAAGAAACTACTTAAAAGCTCAAATTACCATACTTATTATGCAGTTACTTCATAATCTTTGACAGAAGATACAGACTGATCATAAACTTTGACCTTCATTCATCAACACCTACACACAACTCTACATCCAAATCTAGTATGTTTACAGAAATGATATACGCATCTGTGTATCTCCATAATCCCAGGTTTATTTCCCTAAACACAGTATGAGTTTAGTTTTCTAAGAAACAGGAAAACACAATTTTGCTGCAGAATGCCATTAAACCCAAGAATCTGCGAGGACAAGGTTTGACTGCTGAACTAGAGGAAGTATCTGGAATAGCTCCAAATGCAGAAGCAAAACAGTTCTGCCCACATCTCTGCAATAAGAAAGCAGCAGCATCTGCACAAACTCAGCTAGTTGTACTACAATATGAAAACAGCAAAAAGTATTCAGAGTTGTTCAACAGGGCAGCCTATTTTTGGAAGCACAGGTCTCAATATAATTGTCACCTGGCCACCAGAAATTATTTGAATAACACCCAGTGCTATTATTATTACATGGCTGCATCACTACTAGTACCACAAGAACTACCTGTATGTCTAACAGTGATGATGAAAATATCAAAAAATATACTTTTTAAGGGTAAAAAGTAATTATGTGCCCTGAAAAAGTATCAGGAAACTACTCCTCACCTTCCAGATATTAAGTTTCTGAGTCACAGCCCTTTAGGGCTAATCCTGTTTCTAGAAAAATCTTTGGTTTTTTTCTTTTTTCTTTTTTTTTTTTTACTTTCAGAGACAAATTATTAGAAGGGAAAGCTTGCCTTGTAAGCTGCAAGCAAGAATATTACTTATTTAGCACTACTAATTTGCTTTGCATTTGCATGAAAGAGTATGTGTGAATTACAGAGAACATGAGGGGGCAGAACAGGTACCCTAACAGTCCTTTCCCTTCACCCCCTCCCATCATTTAAATTGCAAAAGCAATAACACACAGTACAGTTTGCACACTTTGTACACTTTGATAGTACCAGTGTATCATTTGTAGCATCAAAGAGATGTAACCATAAGTAGTGCAGAAAGTAATAAGCAGTATTAACAACAAAAAACATGGTGTAAAACACATGGCAAAAAGCACAGACACCATCAGTATTAAGTTACATTCACAGAAACGTGAGCTTCTTGTTGCTACGTGAAAGCTCTTCTGGAAGTTCTTTGACATATGAGTTACTGGAACTTGTCTTTCAGCAATGTTTTCTGTTTATTTCCACTTTACAGCACATTTGTACTTGGTTTGTTGATCCTCTTCAAAGGGGAATGCACGCAGATCTAAACCACAATAGTTTAGTTATACCAACAGAATTTATAGACACAGTCCGCAGAGTCTCACTCACACGATTGCTCTATGTAAGAAAAGCAGTACCTATTAATTGTGTCACCATATGTTGCTCTAATAAGTTGCTGAAGCAGATTTTTTATATTTCTTCTTAACCACTGATTTCTTTCCTTTAAATCAAAGACTTCATCCATAAGAAGCAGCATTACTCTTAGTGGAATATTGTCATCCACCTGATCAAGCAAGTAAAAGTATGATCAGTAAAGTTTCACTTCAATTCAAGAAAGCTACAGTTGTAGTAGTTACTTCACAGATCAAATGCAGAACAATAGCCAAAACACTTGGCTCTGTATTTTACTGTAATATGAAATGCTCCTTAAATCTTCTATAACATCACTAATAGCAAGGACTGGAAATTATAGATAAACTAGGCTTAAATCCATTGAATTTTTAAGCTAAGACAAAAAGAAACAGTTATTTCACCAAATTTGAACAGAGTTAATAAAATAAATATGTCCTGAAGAGAGTGCTTGTCCCTGACCTCTTCCTTTGGTATCTATGCTTCCAACTGCCTAACGTGATAACTCTGGAAGCAGCTATGCTTTGGCATCTTTTTCTTATGGATGCACAGTGCCCAAGTCAGAACCTCCTCACAATAATGGCACCTCACTGCAATTAACTTCCTTTTATTTATGTATCATTCTAACCTGCATGGATATTAAGTGCATTTATGCTTATAGATTAAGAAAAGCATCTTAATTTCATTATTTAATAAAACATGTTACACAGATTGGCTTACAAAGAACAACAGAGGATTCAGTAACTGAGCAGAAGTTTTTAAAGTTGTATGCAGTAACTGTCAAAGCTTTTTCAAATATTAAAATTTGAGGGAAAAATTACTAAATTCTGTAATATGAAAATATTAAGATTTGCATCTCAGTTATTACAGTTTCTCTTGGAGAAAAAACAGCAGCTTCTCACTGCCTGCTTATATACCAACATACAAGCCTACATATTGTTAAGCTATTACATAAAAAGACAGCATTTGGAGTTAGTTGTATTGCACAAGAGACCACAAATGTTTATCTCAAATACACAAATTAATTTGGTTTTTTAAATAAAATTTAAATAATCCATTTATTACTTAAAACTTCATCGAATAGCAAGCTAAAATTAAAACTTCGCTGGATCCTCAGCAATACTTACTTAAATACCAAATGCAATTTCTTTGTTTTTCTTCGTGCTTTTTTGTGGGGTTTTTTTTTTTGGTTGGTTTGTGTTTTGTTGTTGGGTTTTTTTTGTTTGGTTTTGGTTTTGTTTGGTTTGGGGTCTTTTTAATTCTGATTTTTACATTCTAACATAACATTCAGAATGTTGTTTTGCGTTTAAACTCTTGATACAGCTCTACCTGGAAGAGTAGTAGTTTGCACTATATTGCTAAACCTACACTGGGAGGAAGAGCAGCCAGCTCTCACAGCCACATGGACATTTTTTTGGTAGGCCACACAAGTATATCTTTAAGACAGTGGATTTATAAATCAGCTGGAGATTCTACAGATTTGTGCATCAGTACTGCTTCTCCATATAAAATTCCATTCAAGCTGCCATATTTTGTCTGATATAGTGACTGTAAGTCGCGACCAATGCATCTAAAAATAGCAGTTGAGACTTTAAAGGTTTTAAAACATTTGAAATCTGCTTTTCAGAAACACTTGGTATATTACCTTAGAAGCTATCAAAAATTGCAGCTTCTATAGGATCAATGAAATATTCGCAGAGAAGCAGCTCATGTATTTGAATGATCCAATTTTGTTTTGCCTGTGCAAAACAGAAGCCTCAGAAGTATCAAAGATGTATATTTGAAATTATAAATTTACAGATACAGTCAGATATAGTGAAAAATAATGGGGAAAAAGAAAACCCAGAAGAACTCAAGGCTATGTTATTTGAGCAAAAATACATCTACCAAGCCACAGGAAGGCAAACTGGAATGCTTTGATGTGACCAAAAAACATGAAACATGAAGGGCAGAACAGGTGCAGACTTATGACCATAGCAAATCGCATATAATCACTGGTAATCTTACAGACTTTCTGTCCTACTTAGAGATAAAAGGTTTTTTCCAATTGTTTTCACATATATGATCAATGTTGCTATCAAAACAATACCAAAATACCATAGCTTATGATAACATCAAAAGCTTAAACTTCACTTTCAAGTTTCTAATATTACTACTTTATATAGTTTAAGTGTCCACACACTAGAAGTTTATTATTTAGGAAAATATACTGAATGGGGTTTTTTTTCCATAAAAACATAGAAAACACTACTTCTGATCCAAATGCCCCTAAAAGGTCACATTAGAAATCAAAATCCTTAAAATGCCACTAGAAATGATGCTAACAGTCTGGTACCATACTGTCTTTGAACAGACAGAAATTGGAGGGAAGAGGGGGAAAAGAGCCCACCAATCAACCCCCCACCCACAAAACACAGAAACGGCAGCATATACGCTCTAAGTTACTCCACTGCTGTGCAAACCATTCTAGTACTAATGAAGATGTTAACTTTAGAGGGAAGCTTAAGTTTCCTTTAAAAATTTAAGAACTGTTTTTAAGTGCCTGGTATAGTATCAGAAAAAATAAGTGTGTAATTTAACATAAAATAAGCAATTCATTAATTGGGTTTTAGAGGAGTCAGCTTTGAAAGGACAAATATCAGACTCACATTGTCATCAATTGGTGCTGCAACACGGCAATGATCAGGATCTGAATAGGTTTTCTGGATCAAAGGAGGCACCTACAATGAAAAAAAGGTAATGTTTATGAAATAAAAACCACTTAAAAATACCAATAAATTAGGTCAATTTTCATAATCAATTTGGTTATGAAAATTAAACCCAAATGTTTGGCCAAAAGTCAGTTGCATACTACCACAGATAAGCACACGGTAGTCCTTTCATCTTGCAACAAGTGAAGCCTGTAGGTATTCTCCTAGAGCTGTCAAAGTTATCAACACCTTTAAGACAACCTACACATATTTTCTCAAGTACTAATGCTTCAACTGAAAAACACCTAGAAATTCATATGGGACTGCTATTTCTTCTGGTATCTCTTTTTGATCTTAAGTCCTGCCTAGTCACGGACTTCCCAGTGAGTGTAACTGCAGATGCACTGTTAGTCACACACGAGGGAAGCTACCAGCAACGAGGAAGTCCAGAGCCAATCATTTTATCTCATAAGTAGTGACAGAATCAAACAAACACCACCACCACCCCCCACCCCCAATTTATTATCCCCTTTCATGCTTTAGGGGTTAACTCATCTTGGTTGCTGTTCCACAACTGCTGCATTTATCTGTTTTGGTAACGCAAAATAGAACAATCCCTGATCACAGACCTTAGAGCTACACACAGAAAGAGGAGGGCAAAGGGAAAGGAAGTTAAGATGGACATGTTAGGGAGATTATTATTTTCACAGGACTTCCAGATAGCTTGCCATGCTACCATTCCCCAACTCTAAGGTTACATTTTAGAAATAAAAGAGATGAGGAAAGATGGCAGGAAGGACAGAAAGAAAATTTAATTAAAAACAGAATTCAGCAATAAGCAGAAAAGTAGCTATTTCCTTATCCTAAGTTTCATAATATATGGGTGTTTTTCTAATGAAAGCAGCAGATGCAGCAAGCTAGCTTTATATGAGAATGGGTGATAAAAAAAATAAGAAAATCAGTGACCCTCATTCTTCTCAAGGATCACTAACAGTCTGTAGATGCCATCTTAAAATGTGGTACTTAATAGCAAAGAGAACTCCGTGTCTATAGTACAATGATTGCTGAACCTTATTGATACGGTATACCTAAAGCAGATTGCTTTCCTGTCTAATGACTTGACTCTTCATTATAGTATACAACCTAAGTTTTGAGTGAGTTGATAGCTAACCTCCTATGAAGTCACTAGTATGTAGTAACTACCAAATATTTTCTTACCTTGAAAAATGATTGCTTTATGTCTTGTCCCAATCTCTCTGACATTTTACCCATGTTGTCAGACATTTTAGTCATTCCCTCTGCCAGGCTGTCAGGGAGAGACTTGACTGCGTTTGATACATTTCTCATAGAGTTACGCAGTGGGTTTACAAATGTGTCCATCTGAAGGGGAAGATGTTTAACCAGAATTGTATAATCTATGAGGACACCAGTATATTAATACAGTATGAGAAGTATCACACTGTTCCAAAGAACAATAATATGAAGAACAACTCAAATTGCTTAACTTCATTACAGAATGCAAAATAAAGTTTTAGCTTCACTTTGTTTCTCATTCCTTACAGCCCTACTGTAACTATTTCCATCTTTCAACAGACCACCTTCCTGCGTCATTTTCATTTCCCACCCCCCAGCTTTTCTTAGCTTGAATTTATTTTCCTTTTCTTCATTCAATGCTGTTTCTCCCTTCCAAGCTTCCTACTTCCAGATGTTTCACTTCTGCTTTCAACTCTTCATCTTTGAAAAATGCCTCTTCTAAACAGCACTGGAGTAATACATTTTAATATCATGGCAAGTATAATCAAAACCATGAAGTAGTTCCACAGAAACTGTTACGATCTTTTTTCAGTATATACCCTAAACTCAGTCCAGAGGCACAAATACTAGTCTGATGCCCTTAAGTTTATGAAGGGCTTAATAAGCTGGAAATCAAATCTTAGTCATTACAGAAACCTTGACAAATATTTAACTGCTTCACTGTTAAATATTTAAGGAATATAGGTAGAACAACAATTTGATGTGGTAATACAACTGCAGATGCTTTTTTATATAAAAATCACTAAAAGTTTAGAAATAGCTGTATTTGCAAAGCAGATGCCCACACAAACTGGTCAACTGAACAAATAATCACTTGTCTGAAGAGAGTTCTGGTCACTTAACAAAAAGGATGCAGAGCTCGGCTCCAAATTTGACCAATGACTCTGAATGGTTACAACAGCCAGATATGTAATAGCCACTTTTGAAGGGAAATGCATTTCATCTTTTGGGCTGCAGAATGGAGAGCATGGTAACAGCAGCAAATACAGAGTAAAGAACTGAAAAGAAATTAGAAAGAATGAGACTACGAAAAAAAAAAATCACAGATGTCTGACAAAGTAACTTGCAACGAACACACTTTTCAAGTAGTCTTGATGCAATGCACTGTCTGATTTGAAAGTTTAATTTCCTTGTCATACAAATACATGTATCTGTTATAAAACCAGCAAGTTTTTGGCTATGACCTCAGATACTCTGCCACTCACAAACAACTCTTTAAAACAACTCACTTTCAACCTGTTTTGAAAGTGTTATATAGCTGTTCAATATCAGCTCAACATCTCTGTTTAATGCAGTCATTGCACTAATAAATGGTCTGAAGTTCCCTTGACAGTGCAAAATATTCTTACCTTCCGTGCAAAATCCCCCTTCCCTTTGCTGTAGGCTTTATTCTCCAGGAAGTCATATACATAATGGGCTAAAGCTGGAGAAGCCTTCATCATTTCAGGGTTTAACAAGAGCTGAGTAAAATAATTTTTTAAAAATATTTTTTAATAAAATATGAAAAAGGCCATACCATTCAGTTCAGTAAAATTTTATCATGCACAGTTAAAGACACTACACCCTGCAATGTATTTTCTTACTAATTGTCTAATTTTTTTCCAATATTACATTATTCTCAAGTTGGAAATACCATGACAACATGCTTCTTAGTGATTCCCATAATAGCATCTCACAGAAAAATACACATCCCTATGACCACTCAAACTGCTTCTCAAACACACAAAAAAAAAGGCTGTGACTGAAGAAAATATTGCTATTAAAAATGGGGCACATATCTCAAAGGAAAAAAATATTAGCCTTATAAACAGACCAATTGGATTTCACAATGTTTTATCCATTTTCATTATTTATTGCTAACATGTCCATTGAGTCGGTCAACATATTTTAGTGCTAAATTACTAGAAGGTCCGTATGAAGCAAGACAACTGAATTCCTTTGGTTAGGCCAACACAGGCCTTATTTGAATGGAGAGTTTGTGTGATTTTCTACACCAACAGAGTGGGTGCCATGACAATCTTTACACAACAGCACCGGAGAAAGTAACCACAAACGTAAGTGTGACACAAGAAAGTTAAGTGCCATAAAGCTCAAAACGAACACAACTGGAACCTCAGTGGCTCAGAGGAGTTGGAACAGAATTGTCTGAGAATAAACCAGAACAGCAAAGAAAAGGCAAACTTACTATCTAATATGAAGTTCTTATCGTATAGTGTTTAGGATTATGTAAAACATACCACAGAGTTTTTTGGTGGGTTTGGGTTGGGGATTTTTTAATATTTAAATAAAAAATATTAAAATAAAAAAGGATGCTAGCAATTTTTCTACCTCAGAAAAAAGAATTCCAACACAGAATGCTACCACAACAACAACAAAAAACCCCCACCAACCCACACACAGCTTACCTGCAAATATGCATTTAAATCTTTTTTCCTCTTTTCCAAAAATTCTCTATCCATATTGTTAAATGTCTTTTTGCCAGGAAGTTTCAGTATATTTGCAAGGTTTTCAAACTAGAAAAAAAGAAAAGACTTTTTGTTCTGCTTTCAAAGGAGTTTCAAAACACTGCAGAAGCTCAGAAATGAGAGGTCATTATATTCACTTCTTCCTATCTACCATACAACACCTGACAATTTCTGCATCAAGTTCAGAAATCAGATTCCTTTAAGAAGCCAAAATGAAAGGTAGGACTTCAAAAATAAATGCACAAAAATACTCAGGAGACTTTCAAGGGCAAAAATTTAATTTCTGAACACACACAATACTCATTTTTGACATACAGACTAGTATAGTGTGTAAATTATTCCTGTCATCACACCTGCTCAAAAAGGTTTAGGGTCAAGATTTATCATCATTATTTCATAGAATCATAGAATGGTTTGTGTTGGAAGGGACCTTAAAGACCATCTAGGTCCAACCCCCCTGCCATGGGCAGGGACCCCTTCCACTAGACCAGGTTGCTCCAAGCCTCATCCAAGCCTGGCCCTGAACATTTCCAGGGATGGGGCATCCACAGCTTCTCTGGGCAACCTGTTCCAGTGCCTCACCACCCTCTCCGGGAAGAACTTCTTCCTGGTATCCAATCTAAATCTACTTGCTTTCAACTTAAACCCATTACCCCTTGTCCTGTCACTACAGGCCCTTGTAAAAAGTCCCCCCACCAGCCCTCTTGTAAGCCCAAGTTTGTGCAGAAGTTAGTAGGTTTATGAGACCACATAATGATAACTTGCAAATCTTTCTCAAATATCCTTCTTTTCCTCTCCTGATCAAAGCTACTACAGAAACAATAACATTTTTGTCTCTGGAGTGGATAGCAGCACCCAGTTTACACCTAAGTTATACCATGCCGGACATGCCATCACCTGTGCCTTTTCTCCAGGTAACGGCAGTTACTGGCATTGGTTGAAATGTCTTCCACTGTTTCAGTTTTACAGAAAGAATGAGTGTTCTAGGAAAGCAGCTTGGAAAGAAGAGGTCCTAACACTTAAGCAGGTTGAACATATTTGCTACACTGCACAAACAAAAAAGCAACAAGAAAAAACCCTCAAAGAATCAGGATTATCCCCATCAAGAATCCAGACTTACTGCGAATAATAAATAATATTCTTAAGGCAGTAAAGAGAGAAAGGAATAGTACAGCTTTAGGTATATGGCTTTAAAAAACAAACTGAAAAAATGTTGTGTCCTTTTCTCTCTAGAGAAGGCCACAAAATTACAGATTTAATGAGAGACTGACTACATTCAGTCCCTCCAAGGTGTCTTTTTGCAAAGACATCATTTAACTCTGGAAGGTCACAAAACGCATATAATGTTTATGGCCTGTAGGAAGCACCAAATAACTATTTCCAACTTTACAAATCACATCCCTTCGCAAATAGGTCACATGAGAAAATAATTGGCCAGACAATGGTCTGGATTTTATTTGAATACTTGCATCTAAACAGAAGCAATGTAAGCAAAGAATAGCCTCTTAAATATAGGTATCTACTTCAAATTGTATTTGTCACATTACTGACTAAAAATCTGGCGTGCATCTACTCAGTACTTAAAGGAAAAACGCTCACAGAGATATTATATGCAGCTAGCCAACTCCATTTTGGATCCATTCACAATGCTCCATTTTCTTTTGTCAGAGCAATTGTATCAGCATCAGGTACTAAACTACATAAACGTGCACTTGTAAACTGCTCAATACAAATAGTGTGTGAGACAAACACTAAAAAAAGTACACTTTAATGGAAAATAATGCAGTGCTGTAACTCCACATCTTATGTCACTCTGAGAAAGCCAAGACTTATGCCATACCACCACACAGACAAAGCACTTTTCAGAGAAACCTTACAAGATTTTTATGAGATTAAATACCTGCTCAGTGATCCTCATATGAAAGTCATGGAAGTCACTGTAGCGTCGATAGGTCTTCCACGTCTCTTCGCTGTTTGGATTTCGCCGATGGACTGTGATAGCATACAGTGCGTATGTCTTGCCGTGGTCATTACACACTCCTGCCACAGCATATGGGTCATAGTCAGCATAGACTAGTAGTTTAAAAACAAAAATAAAAAAGGAACAAACAGAAAGAAGGAAGACGAAAGGACACAAACATGAAGTAAAGAAATGTCTGGAATGACAGACTTGAGAGACAAAAATGGACATGCAAGGAGAAGAGTAAGCCATCCCTTTATCCAAAACACTGCATAAGCGATACCCTCCAGAAACTTATCATGTAAGCTTAAATATAGAGATTAAGCAGCCTTAAAGTTAGAAAAGTTTCACTGACATGCAAAACAAAGAAAGAATAGAAAATGTTTCAACTTTTAAGAATAGTAAATAGACCTTTTAAAAAATAATTTTAACCTAAAGAACTCAAGATACTGGTGAAAGACAACTGTGAAAACAGAAGACATGTAAGTACTCTCTAATCATATTGCAAAAGTTTGTCCATCAAAAAAAAAAATCTGTAAATACATGAGAGAGTGCCTGCAAGCTGTAAGCATTCAGTCAGTAACATCAGCAATTTATTACCTCTACCATAAAAAGTACCCCCCACACACACTATTTAAGTCAACAGAAACCATATATACACACACGTGTGTGTATTCTGTATGTGTGTGTACACACACATTTCATGGAGAAGTCAATTTAGAAATGGAAAGACGACAGATAACTATCCTAAATAGAAGAAAGCATCTTTTTGTTCTCTGCTGAGTATTCCTCTTGAACACTCCTCCATCACACAATTCCTCCCAGTATAAAGTTTTCTTCAAAAACTTCAATTTAATCTACAGAATAACCTAGAACTAATATTGTTTACACTGTATACTGTTTAATTTGGTAACATGTCTTATCTTTTTAGTAAACCAATATCCATTAACCACAATTTTCCAGTGGCCAGATGAAAATACTTTTTAATCAAGTTCTGCCATTTTTTCAAATGCACTCATGCTCTGTAAAATACATTTTTCTTGGTAAATCATCAGCTCCAACCTCTGCTGTACTTCTAGCCTTGACTTCTCTCAAGTACAATGCTGGGGTCTAAGCAGTCAGGGAACACTTCTAGGATAGAGGCAGCTGCTGACAATGTAAGAATTAGTTGCTAGTGAGGTGTACAGTGGCACAGAGCATCTTTTTGCTATCTACCCTCTAGAAGAAGAATGTTGAGTGCTGAACCCAAGAGAAGAGAGCAGGAAGTCAGGATGCTGACAAGGGACTGCCCAGAGAATGGAGCAAGGAAACTCCAGCCCCACGGATGCTGAGGAAGCCCTATCCCCTAGGATGTTGACCACTCTGCCATGCAGCCACCATACCACACCTCAGAGGCACTGCTAACTTCCACCTTTAGGAAGTACCACTTCAGGACAGGAATGGCAGACAAAGAAAGAAGCCTCTTAATCAGCATTTATTTTGAAGCGCAAGACAAGGTGAATCCCCAAAGAGAGGAAATCTTGTGTACACCCCACAAGCACAGTAAAGGGTAGTAACCAGCAGAGGAAAAAAGCCCACACACAGATGCAAGATGCACCTACTGCCTGCAGCATCCTGAAAGCAGGGACTTGTATTTCTTATTCAGACATGAGGTGAAGAGGAAGAGGACATCCAGTTTAATCCTATCTTACAACATGAACCTTTACATATCCCCTGGTTCAACTGGAGTATTATGGATTCACAGAGTCAAACTGACAGTTGTCAATACACATTGCCATCAAGATCATAAATTTAACGTAATTCGATTGGTTCTAAGTTTAACTTTTTTCTTACATCAAAACAATGAAACTTTTAATCTAAATTCAGAAAAAAGTATCACATGCCATTTTAATAAGAAAGCAGAATTGTAATTCTTAACTTTAAATTATTTTTTCTCTTTCTCTGAGGGCTGACTACATGACACTTGGATTGCACCATACTCTCAGAGTGCGTTGGAGCAGTCTAATTCAAATGTCAAGTAGTTGAATTGTTGCTCACAGCTCATGTGTCTGATATGTAAATGCATAGATTTGAGTCTACTGCATAGTAAAATCTACCTTAAAAAAAAAAGTATCTGAAGATCAATTCACTATTTAATTACCCAGTGCAATCTTATCTAACTAGAATATTTACAAGTAATATCTGTAAATTTTTTGTCATTTATTCTCATGTAATAAAAATTCTTAGTTTATTACTCGGAAAGTTTTTTCAAAACATAACCAAAAACGCTATCACTGTAAAGAAGTCTCTACCTTAGATCAAGCTAAGTCAATAAGCAATCACAAAAAACAAAGGAAAAATATTACATTAAGAGAAGTAAACAGTCAGGAATTAGAATTGTATGGCTAGAAAATAAAGAGAGTTGTCTTTCAGAATTTGTTCTTTAAACAGCTTAAAATAAATGCTATTCAACATGAAGTTTAATGAATGATTCTTCAGAGATAGGGAAAAGAACAACATCATATCAATAAAAATTAAATCACATTAAAAATAGATACATATTCTATGGCCTACAGCACCAATTCTGTAAAGATTTTCCTTACAAATACTTCATGGGAAATATGAATTCAAATGTTTCATGAAGGCTAAAAAAAAAATGGTAGTATTAGTATTTCAAGGGCCCATAATATTAAAAAACTCAAAATAAATGGTGGAAAATAAGTAATCAGACACTGTAAGAGATTCACTTACCAGTATCTGAGATGTATGCGTGGAGTTGAACTGCCTCATCAGAAGGGACGTTTGAAAGGTCATCTAAGGACTGTAGGGTGGGGGAGAGAGGGGAGAAAGCAGAAACAGGCAAGAGAGTAAGATCACAGATACATTTTATTTGAGACATGCTTTTTGATTCATCTATTTAATGTTTAAACTTCCAGTTCACTACACTAATAGAATAACTTCATGCACTGTAAGAATGCAAATAAGTGTTCTTGTTACATGGTTACTAAAGCCTTTCTTTTACACAGTGTTGGGCCCTCCAGTTTCACGGTTTTGTGCTCACTAACTTATTTGCCACTTTCATATCTTAACAGTAACAGTAGTACAGCTAAAAATAGTCTTTTACTGAGCATTAAAAAAAACCTAAACACCTATGGAGATACAGAAGCTGTATAACATATTTTGGTTTTATCTTTATACCACTCTTTTGCTTTTGAATGACTTAAAGCACTATACAAAAGTTACAGTGCAGTAAAAAAATTGAATTATTTCTCTACTGTATTTAAAAACCAGCAAACACACTTCTCAGAAATGTTTTCCCTCATAAGAAACAAACAGGTACATTCTCATCTGGCTAGCACCCTGTCTCCCTTCTCAGTTATTACTGGGCTCAAAGGAAGCCTAACGGGTCTTTCAGAGAAGCTTTGCTATTATTTAAAACTAATACATCTCACTACTAAGATTTAACATAATAAAGCTCTGCATAATTGTTGGGTGAAAAACTTGGATACGTTTCTTGGAAAGAAACAAGATGATGGATCACAAGTGTGATTCTAATCTCAAATTACCAGGTTAAAATAATAATTAAAGAGATGGAGCTACTTAAGCAGAATTCATAGACACTGGGATCCTAGCTACTTTATATATTTTACTGCAAAATTCTAAAATTCTTTAAAGATACACATTCAGAATGAATATGCAGTTATCAGCCATCTTTCATAATTTAACCAAGCCAGTTTAATAGTGATTTGCCACACAAGGTTACCTAGAACAAGAGCTACTGCTTAAGTGTCCTAAAACTCAATAACATGTCAATCAAGTTTTTAACCTCCTCCGTTTCCTTAAACACAAACCAATCTCACATGATTTCCATCAAAAGATAGGTTGGACTTGAAAACGTAAATCATTTAAAGACTCTGCTCTTGCCTCTTCTTCATCTGAACCTTTATCATCTCCACGATACCCAACAGAACACTCCGTCCTTCCTTCTCAAGCTCTCTAGAGGGAAAGGCTCTTCTCTGCTTCGACCACCTCAATCAGTCTCTGCCTAAATATCCACTATGGAAGGTGAGGGAAATAACATTTCTGTTCTAAATTTTAGATACTGAACAAATGCCATCACTGAAAAGCTCTGAACACAGTAACCATGATTTAACATGTACTGCAGTAAGGAGTCTCCTAGGTACCTTCTAGGCTCAGAGTATAAAAGTACCAGAATGGAAAATGGTAGAAGAGCGAGCCTGGTGGGGAGATTTCTTTTGCCAATGCATGTTATAGCACTAAAAGTTTATGTCTCTTCAATGGCAGAACAGATGAACCCACCCAAAAATAATTTAAGAGCATATATCATCTTTACCTCAAGAATTCCCAAATCTCTGTGTTCCTGGATGCTGAAGAACATTCTGGTAAGGTATCACCAGAAGTTGTCTGACCCTTTAATTTTCATTAGACACTTGCTTTTGGTCATTGCTAGACACGTGGCTAGACCTTCTCTGACTGAGTGCATTCTTAAGGAAGTCACCCTTGAACAGCAGTTACCCTGTAAGGTGTGCTCTACACAGCAGTGTCCAAATTTGGGAGCAGAGTATCACCCAGACTGATGAATGGCAGGAATTTGTGGAAGCTTGGATAAGTGCTCAATATTCTGAGAGCTCTAGGATATGATTATCAGTAAGATGAAAGAGATGCTATTAAAGAAGACAAGTAACAGTCAACTGCTCTAATATTTTGTTTGGTGTGAACAGGCAACATTAAGGTACTGTTACGTGTTTTAAAAAGCATCATTATTTGTTTTTCTGCACCCCTTCACTGCCACTCTAACAGTTCGGCTTTATTCTTGATAACTGACTGACGGTCAAGTTGACGTATATTAATGACTTCCAGAAGTTAACCCAGCCATTTCTGGTGCCATTCAAGGCCTTGGATATGCAACATATGTGTAAATCCTATTTACTCAATGCAAAAAGCACTGAAGCTCACATTATGGACCCATTTAGATGAAATATGCAAGAACCTATAAATACTCTCCAATGGTTTTATACCCCCAAAATACTCCCTACTAGTTCAATATAGTAGGTAAATGTGTCATATTAAAAAGCAGTAATTAAGACTGTATTTTTGTAAAATAACTCTTCCTTCAAAATAGTTTTGAGCCTCTCTCCCAAAAAAACCCAACCATTCTTACACTGAAAGTATAAACTGCAGTGTTGTATACTGTAATGGAACCTTTAGGAAACACTCAACTGCTGTGTCAAGGCACTATAGAGCAACAATTAATACAAATAAATTAAATGTTTGGAACTTGAAGAGATAACACAGCAGACAGTTTGTATTTAATACAACCTAGTATCTTTGACATTAGGTATATTCACAGGAACACAAGTTCATTAAAAAGCAAAAACATCACACCACAACCCAATCTTACTTAGTGCATTGTTATCAGCTAAAAGTACAGATATTCCCTGACCTCTGAAGTAACCTTTTCAAGGTCTATTTTATTCATGTAACTGACTAACCCATAGGAGCCAAACTATGTACACAGCAATTTACTCTTGACATGGAATTCAGCCAGGAAAAACTAATTTACCAGTATTCAAACACCCGTAAAAGCACTGAAAACCCTGAACAACCCAGAACAATATGTATTACAGAAAGCAAAAGTTATTCTGCTTAAAAGGAGCTTTATTGCACATTTTTACTAGAATGTTTTTCTCTATTTATAAAAATAGTAAATGTTGTATTCTGCAAATCTTCTTTTCACAACAACAACAAAAGACTAGGAAGTGTTGCATGCAAATATCTATTTGTATCGCAACAGTGCTCGATAGAGGCTTTAAGACTTTCTAGATTAGCTTACAAAGACCACATTTAAATGAACAGCAGACAGACACCAGCCAGAAGAGGCATCGCAATGACAAATCCCCATCCATAAAATATGACCTTGGTATGTCAGAACATTCTTAGAAGTACTTAAGAGACATTTGAAAGATCTTTTGAAGAGATCAGTCAATTAAAAGAGTCTCTTGTGAAATGTTACCAGAACTGTAAATTTATAAAACGTATAGCTAAATTAACTTTTCCTTCTGCATCTAACAGGATTTTGTGTAGATTGTATCAGCTGACCACCTCCCCTTTATGTTGTATTTCAAAATGTAGACAAGAGGAAGCAACAGTAAAATAAAAATTCCAGTTTAAAAAAAAATCAAAACAAACCCGAAAAGCAAACAAACAACCCCCGCATAGAAAAAGTTTATTTTTACATTAAATGTATTCCTTTACAAAATAAACTCTATTCCTCTGTGTGTAAACATGAACTAACCAATGCAATGGGACTCCTAAGGAGCTACATTTCCCTCTGAGAATGAATTTGGAGGGCCTATGAATCACATAAGCCAGGAAATTGCATACAGATTGCCAACTTTTCCAAAACTAAAAGATTTGGAAAAGTAAAGCACTCTCATATGAACTCTCTAGAACCTTGAGTATATGTGGCTCAGCTATATATAATCTGAAGAAACAAGTAAGAGGGAGGGTTTTTCCTTTTTAAGTTACTGATTTAATTTTCAGTTTAAAACATTTTAAACCTAGTAAGAGCAGTGTGGGACAGATTATTTGGAAAAAGTCTGGTAGAAATACACAGTTCTCTTCATACATATGCAACCACTAGTACACACAGAAGCATATTTCAAATATTTCATTACATTCATGTAAGGAATGGTTCTGACAAACTGAACAAGCCTAAAGTTGCTTAAATCAAAAAACAAACTTGAAATTGTTCAGATTAGAAAACAAAGAATCATGTTTTGAACAGATAACTTCCACATACCTTTAAATCCTAACTCAAAAAGTAAAATTAAATTAAAAATATAATTAAATGCTTCATTTTACAGTTTTTTGAATTTAATCCTTTGAGATTTTAGAAAACAAAATGTCATTAAACACAAGGGAAAGTAAAAAAAGAAGAGTTTTATCTTGCAGACTGATACCTTATGTATTCAAATTGATTCAGTAACTGCTTCAGAAACTAATCTGCAGTGAAGTAAAAGCTCTAACACACATTAAACTGTAACACTT